TGCGTGATTACGGGGCTTCGTCATGAATGCCAAGCTATGTAAGTGACCTTCGGAATTTACGCGAGTAACGTCGCTAATTCTCCCGCATGGCGATAACAATAATTGGACCCCTGCCGATTGTCGAAATATCGATGCAAGTTGAAATACGAGCTAGCTCTACGTCTCTCTCTCTCTCTCTCTCTCTCTCTCTCTCTCTGTCTCTGTATTTTTTCATCCTCTATTTTTTTTTCCACTCGGCGGCAGTTAATCGTTAAACAAATGCATTATAAATTAACAATATTTTTGAAGGACGGTCATTAACGCGCGCATAAAGTACGATATGCATTTATGAAATACCGTTTTGCAGGCGCACATTGCCAGTCTGATGTTGTTGCTGTTGTTACTGCTCGTAGTGCTTTATTGGGGGAGGGGGAACAAAAAATAATAATAAATAATAATAATAATAAAAGAAAAAAATAATATTGTATCGACGCTCATTTTGATAAGCGCTTGTCCTTTGAAGTATCCATAAATCAAAAATTTCTCTTTGGCTCTAAAATTTCATACCCTAGCTTCTAACCTAAAGTAAAGTGTTTAGCAAAATTTTACGTCATTTGCCAAAATTTTCAACCCATGTTTGCATAATACATCTCGCCACACCCACACAAATGAAACACTTTTTCATACACTCAAGTTTTTCATTTGAAATCCTGTGTGCTCGTGTGTTTTCGATTCAAATAAATTAGATGGATCACCCTTAAAAACTCTGATCCTCAAAGATAAGTTTCTTCCCCCATATCAATCATAATGTCAATAACGTTATTCATACTTTATTTAAATTGCATATAATTCGCCTTTCTTTTCATACTCTTCATTCATGAATAAAATACCCCATTTGAGGGAACGTGTACTCGCTTGATACTTAAAAATGCTTTATGTAGATTAAGGCAGCTTTATAACTAGTAATTTGCTAACAAAGTGAACAAAAATTCTATTAAGTTTCTTTTTTTTTGTTTTTTTTTTTTTTTTTTTAAATAATGGCAAAATCTTGCCAAGAACATATTTTACTCGTTACATTGTACTATTTAATGAGAATTTTGAACGGATAAAGTCATTCGCTATTTACTTTATCATTTGCTTTTCATTATATATTTAAACAATGAAAAGACAATTCCAAATTAAAAGAAACTTTTTTCCGAATTGAATTATTGCTAAATCAAGTGTTTTGTTTCTTCAGTTTTATAAACATACTTACTTTTTATAAATGTGTATTACTTAGAAAATCTCGACGTATGTTGTGTTATTCCAGGTGAAATATGAATATATCATTCTAATAGGATATCTGTTAGGAAACATAAGCTTTTATTAAATTTCATATTAAAAGTATTCGCAAAAAGAAAATTCTTCTAATAAATACCATGTAAATTAAGAGAATATTATTACTCTTTCTCTCCCTCTCCCTCGCGAAAATAATTGAAAAATACTTTGTTCCATTGCCGATATGTCATATTATATTATGCATAAGTCAAAACCTACATCATCACTGACATTTTAAGTTCTCTGGGCAATTTTGTACGTAATTTTATCCGGCAAAAAGGATTTTCTTTCACGAGCTTGTTTTATTTTTTGTTTTCTGTTTTCAGTTTTTAACGAATATCATACAACGACACTACGACAGATTCTCATGTCATCCATTTATAAAAGTCAATATCAAAATAGCTTGATAAAGTTTCTACCTTGAACTAGTTTAATTATATACAAATATAGAATTTTACTATGGATATGTTGATTAGGACAATTATATTATGTGAAAATTGATCCTTTGCGATTAAATTATTATTATTTCATTTTTAGCGTCGTGTCTCGCGAAATGCGCGTTATCTTTCGGCAGAATATTTAAACCAATGGTGTTTATTAATGCGCGGATAAAGAAGTGAAAAAAATATTTTACAACCAGTAGCAAAAAATAACATTTTTAAACAAAACAAAATGTCATAATAAACATTTTATAGATAATAAATGCACATATTTCTTTCTTGCTTTTCTTTCGTCGTAGGAATGGCCATTTATCGTTTATTATCAATTTTATTTGAACAAATGATAAATGGAAGAAATGATCAATTAAGTCGAATGGCTGTTAAAATTTCATTCCCCCGTAAAAATGATTTATAATATACTTTCTATCGTACCGTTGTTTTATAAAAAATACATTTCATAGTATTATAAATTTCGCATAAAAACACATGGAAGTCTGAGAAAGTCGAGCTATCAAATATTCTCATCGCTGATATCTACTTTACGAAGGATACGTGTTTTTCATGCCAGACAAGAAATTGTTTATAAATGCGCGTAATATTTTTGCATCAGGTATTTATAAACATCGAGACGGTAAGAGGCGACAAAAGGCTGAATTATAAATAGATACAAGTATTCAAATATATTTGCTACACGTTGGACAACTTAAAATATTCTATTAACAAAATTTACTCCAACTGATATCATCAGTCTCGGGAGACGGGGATGTCTCCACAAATGAAAAGACTGAAATTGCACTCTTTCGGTAAGTGATAAGTCACTCTTCTTACTCTTACGTTGAACTAGTTAAGAGAACGAAATAAAGAAAAAAAATTAAAAAAAAAAAAGTGAGGGATAATGGAAAAAAGTAAAAAGAATCCTGATAATTTGAAAGATTACTCCGTTACTTTGGAAATTTTTAACGATCTTAAAGTTTTTAAATACATGGCACGAGATATAACAACGCGAAGCTCGCTAAATTTGCATGAAAAAGTTGCGCTCGACGAAATTACTCGCGAAAGCAAACAAATTCTCAAACAACGATAATTCCGATTTTCTGTACCAACTCGTCCAATAATGAAAACAATAACCCAGCTTAATCGTTACTTTCACTTCTACGAGCGTCAAAGA